TCCCCTGTTAAAATGTTAGTTGTTTTCATTTTTTCATAAAAAAAAAAAATGTGGAACTATTAATTAGTTTCTCAGAAACCATCGGCCTTTCGAAGAGTGATGTATTACGGTTTATGGAGAATTTGGTTATCTTTACTTCGTATTATGACTGTTCAATTGGTTCGAAAGATATACATACGTGATTAACTGGAACCACTCTTTTTTAAGCTGAATAACGGTAAATTTCAAATATCTCAAAAAGTTATCCATTGAGAAAAAAATGCTCTTGTTTTTCGGAATCACTGAGCAATTCCACATAGGAATTGGATAGTGGCATCGGGTGAACAAATTGAAGCTCATTTTGACATTTTGTTTTAAGATTTACATATGCAAATTCGAAAAAGTCGAAAAAGGGAATACAAAATTTCCTGCTGTGAATTTTCAGAGCTATATATTTTCAGTATTCACAACAAAATTGTACTTAAAAGATTTGCGTAGTAGTAAAGTATATTGTGAAAGAAATTGTATCAAAAAATACAATTGTACAAAAAATGCCAACACCGTTTTACTTGACTGGACGCTCTCATTAGTTGCGTTCCAGATGCTTACGATCAAGGCGAATTTATATAAGGTGGTGTTACTAGATCAGCTGATTTTGTGTATGTGTTTCGCCTCACGGCTTCTAATGTCAAATTAAAAAAATTTTTTTGAATTTCCACACACACACTTACAGATTTTGACAGTTTATGCCGCCAAAGCAAAAACAAAATACATGTAAATTTTTGTTTTTGTTCTCCTGCTATCACCTTATATTAATTCGCCTTGCTCACGATATTCACGATTTGCAGGTTTTTTTTGCAGGAAAGCGTTCCAGGTGCCAAAAAACCTGCAAGCAAACCACTTTTGTGAGAGTAACTTGCTCTCTCTCTCAGTCAGAAGTTGCAGGTTTTAGTCCGAAGTTTTTCTTCCTGCAAGTTCATGAATAGTGTCAAACGATAGGTAGGGTTGCATTTGTTAACCAAAACAGATAGCAAAGAACATTAAGCGCCACGGAGACAATCAAATAAATGCGTCAAGCATTGCATATGTGTGAGATTGGCTCTTGTCTTGCCCGCAAACGTTCAAATAAACGAGTTAATTCAATAAACAATTTCTTTTTCTTGTCCGCGCACATGCTCCCCACGACGATCAGAAGGCAAGTGCGCTTGTTTTTTGTCCAGCAAAACGCGAGACGATTGATAACGATATTTGATCGTCTCCATGGCGCTTAACATTAAAAAAAAATGGAAGTAGTTACAGGAAAAGTGGTTTTTCCCGTTCCAGGTGACTGTTTTTTCTCTCTTGCTCCTCTCTTTCAAGAGAGTAATTTTGTTATTTAACAGTTTTACAGGTTTTTACACGAAGTTCTCTGGAACGCAACTATTAAAAAATTACGAGCCGTGCACGATAGGGTTGTGGAACGCAATTGCAAATATTGCCACACACCACAAGCCGTTTATGTGTTTACAGCACTAAAAAGCCTTAAGCTCGGAACACTTTGACGACTGCAACTTCACGACGTAACGACAGCGACATCATTTTGTCGACAAATGTCGCCTTGAAGCCAGCTTCTTAAACATTTTGAAGACCTCAGCGACATAGCAAACAGCTGATTTTAATGTTTGACATTTTGGTATATTTATTTCACAAATTGTGTATTTTTATTTAAGTAAATAAGAAAAACATGAACAATCAAGAATATGTGATTAATTTTGCGACAATTTAATTTTGCAGCACTACATCTACTCATTGTCGCCGGCAAAATTAGAAATAGATTTAATTTGGCGACGTCGACAATTGCAGTCCTGCAGCCAAGATGTCGTGCTGTCGTCAAAATAATGGTGTCCGTAAGAGCGTGTGTATTTAAAATTTGACAGATGCTGCTTGTCGCTTGCTGTCGTCAAAGTGTTCCGAGCTTTAAAAGAAAGCAATTTCAGTTTTGTGACACTTTCATCTCCTTCTTGGAACTATTTTTTCAGATCATTACACATTTTAAAATTTTGGAATTCCATCCCTGCCATGCGCATCTATGGATGCGCCTTTTATGGCCCGTTTACATACAAGTTTGGCGTTGCGATGGCGTTGGCGCGTTTCGATAGCTGACTATGAATACATGCATTTATATGAAAGTCTCCACATAACCAAAGTTGGGCAACGCTAATGCAAGGCCAAGGACTTTCACTCCAGCAACACTCCCCAAAAAGTCTTTGGGGAATTTGTATGCTGCTATAACAACAACAACAACGCTAATGCAAAAGTAAAACATAAATATGGCCAACTCTCAACTTTCGCGTGCGTCGTTCGTCATATGTTCCGAATAGTTAAATTTATGTGAAACAATTTTATTTTTAATCAAATGCGGGTAACAAATATAGTTTTTATGCAATTATTGATATAAAATTTTGATTTATTTGCCGCTAGTATGTAAATTTAGTGACCAAAGTATTCGCTGCTAAGCCTTCGTTTAAGCAAGCACGGGCGTTACTCGCACTCCTGTCAAAGCGACGCCAATGCCATAACTCCAACGTAATGCCATAGTTGTATGTGGACGGGCTTTATAGGTGCGCCTTGAATTCGCCTCGAATTTATGTTTGAATTCGCCTTAGTAAACAAATAAAAAAACAGCTGTTTCTCGTAAGTTTATTGTCGTAGTTTTCATGTAAAATGTGTCGTTTTACGCTTCATCGCATATTTTAGAAACGATATGAGTTTTGCAAATAGCAGCACAAACTACTGTCCCCGTTGTGGAATTCTTGTTGCAGAGAATGCGAATCGATTGGTCACTGATTGCTGTGGTCACCAAAAATGTCGCCAATGTCTACTTGCTGATGATGAGTGCATGGAATGTCAACTGCAACAGCGCAATGATTTAAACAATATAACAAGCCATTCTATTGACGTCGATATAGTAACAGAGGCAGAAGCTGCTCCAGTAGAGAAAACTGACATTGTAGTTAAGACTTCCAAAAAGAAAGGCAGAAAAACGGTCGCCCTGCCAGCGCATATTCGTCAGGAAGAAAATGATTCGAACTCTGGTGTGCACTACCATTGTACAAAATGCGACAGAAAATTTACCAGTCGCTCACAGCAATATTACCATTTAACATGTGGTAGTAATGCTTCAAAGAAGTACAAGTGCCTGCAATGTGATAAGGTCTGTACAAAAATTGTGCTTAACATTGTATGACTTTTTGAATCCATATATTTGTAATTGCAGGCTTTTGCTACGAGTTCTCATTTTAATTATCATATGGAAACGCATGCAGAGCATACATACTTTTGTAAAGAATGCAACAAGTCTTTCACGAATCGGATGGTGCTGCGGAAGCATGAAAAACTTCATTATACTGCGCCATTAAAGTGCAGTGAATGCAATAAAGAATTTCGTAGCAAAGAATCTTTGACCGCCCACATCAGGAAACTACACGATGATAAAGATTTACCTTACAAGTGTAAAGAGTGTCAGAAAAGCTATGCTTTGAAGGCTACTTTAAAACAACACATGCAAAAGCACTTTGGTAAGTTTCTTTGAGAGTGTTAAAGGAATATACTTGCATATATATGTATATGTATAAATCTTCTACTTATAGATAAAAGATTTAAATGTCAATACTGTGATAAACGATTTCAACGCAACTATACACTTAAATTACACCTAAAAAAACATACAAAGACTGATTGTTTTATTTGTGGCATTTGCATGCATAAATTCAGTGATTCAGCAGTTTTGCTGCGTCATGTAAAACTTCATCAAGGTAAAGTAAATTGCTGATGCACCAGTAAAATATTGACATTAAGGAGAGTTACTTTACAGATACTATCAAATACCATTGTACGGATTGTGATGTTACCATAATGCGCAAGGATAATATGTTGAGGCATATACGCACAATTCATCCAGAAAAGAGCTTTGAAAATTGTGTGAAGATAACACTACCAACCCATAACAGCTCCAATTCGCACGAAAAAATTGAGGCAGGAGACCTTTCCACAAATATGACAGCTGTTGTAGAACCACAGACTGTCGAGAACAGCGCCGTCATCAAATGCATTGGAAATGTTGCGCCAATGAAAGTTCCAACTTGTCAGATTTCCCTTGATAACATCCAGGAATTGAATATTGACCCCACTGAAGTGGATGTTAATACCAAGGCAATCACGAATGACTCAACTCTTACGACATTGCAAAACGTGACATTGAATGCTGGTACTGACACAAATGGAAGCTCTAAAAAAAAGAAAGTCCAAAAGAAGTATGACCCAATCAAAATGTATCGTAAGATTTTGGCCTCGGACTGTGAGGATGAAAGCGAAAGTGAGAGAGAAGAAACATACGTCAAGCAAAAAACCGCTGATAACTTGGTTGCCAGTGTTGATGTGGCACCGTCATTAGAAAGGCGTGTGGCGCTTAGCACGTCAAATTTCAGCGAGATGCACTGGCGCAAAAACTTTAAATATACCTATGAATATCAGGACTTTTAAATTGTCGCATGATTTTTAGGCAGAACAATGTTCAGGGCTATCACAGAATCTATCATAATCCGATTTTTTCGTGAAATCTACGAAAATGGCATCACTGAATTTGAATAGCTACTTTTAATACAAACGTTAGTTCCAAATCGGTGATCGCATTTTCGAAGATTTCACCAAAAATCGGACTACGATGGATTCTGTGATAGCCACCGTTATATTCCATACTCATACTTACATATGTACATATGTATGTATGTATATTCAAATAGCAATATTATTGCTCTTTTATATTCTTTACAATAACAACATAACGCATGCGAATAAAACGATTTATTATAAAGAAAATAGTTTGGCTCAATGCCATATGTTTGATGTATTCTTTGACGGGTAAGAATGCAAAGATCGAAAATGCACGCAGAGGTAAACTTTGGCATTGACCGTGAGTAGGAACATGTGACGTTTCCGTCATTGGTATATTGTCTATTCCTCGTATATTCTGAAAAGTTTATACACGTTTCTTTCGTTAAAAGGTATTGTAATCAGTTTAAAATATTTACCATTCGTGATGGAGAGTGCACTCGAAAGTTTTTATTACGAGTCAACAACTGAGCCCATGGCCGATGCTGCTGCGAAAGATTGGCGAAAATGGCTTGCACTAGGCGAATCACTTGATTTTGGTCAACGGTGCAGTTTAATGTGGATCTGGCCCACAGAAGATGAGTTACAAAAATTGGGTTCGGTACTAAAGGTGAACAAAATTGTCCATATACTTAGTGTAGGCTGCGGCAGTGGATTACTTGAATGGATAATCAAAGAAAGTTTAGGTATGACATCAAATTCATAAAAAAAAATACTTTAAACATAGTTTCCCTATCAAATAGGTATTTCTGTCAGTGGTATTGAAATTGATCGCGCCTGGTGGGAAAGCAAATATGCAATCAAGAGTTTTATCAACCTAAATTATATTGAAGATTTGAGCAACAAAGAGAACATACCAGGAGATTATCTTCAAAAGTGTTGTAATTTGCAAAGTTGGAACTTTGCGCTAATGTTTTGTTACTTTAATAATCATTCTGCGTTCCTCAACTACCTTAACATGTACAAAGGAAATAGTTTGTTAATTATCGGACCCAAGGTTGGAATGGGAGTGTTTACCGATCCTTTGCCACTAGAACCGCAACTTCCTGAAGGTCTTAACTGGACACTAAAATCTACGCTAAACATTGGCAGAAGAGACGTTATAGCTTTTTATACGAAGAAGATTTAATGAAGTCAAATATGTCGGGTTAAATTAAATATATATTGTATTAGTTTCTATTTATCTCTATATGGAATTTACAAGCAGGAATAGTTTGCACTTCAGCAGTCACGGTACTATTTATACCTAAATTCGTCAGCGCCCCTCGAACCAGACCACAAGTGAAAAATACGAACTGTAATGGAAACGTATTAACTTTGTCCAACATATAGTGTAATTGCAAACCTTAGGCGCGTGCTCCAATTGCTTTGAACCTGTCGATATTCGTGTAAGAAATCGAAATGCCTTATCTTGTACCACGTACATGCCGTGATTATTGGTACGCAGGTTATCGACCTGTTTCTTATAGATAAGTGTCCAAAAGTCAGTGCATATAAACTTCATTGTCTCCAATTCGTCTTTGAATCGTGGAACATCACGTGTTAAACGCTCAATAAGCCGATATCCCGTGTTGAATCCAATATACTCCAAGGCTGAAAAATCGTTCTCCTTTTGTGAAAACGTAGTGAGAGATATAAAAGCTTTGTATGTTAATGTTTGGTATATAACTTACTTTGTTATTATTATTCAAGCAATAATTAACAATTTCAGCATGCAAAAAATCATATAATATGTCCTCTGACATTTTAGAGACTGTGCAAGATGAACAAATAAAAATTTATAAAAAATAAACAATTTGAAACAGCTGACTGCAGACGAATTTGTTCGATTTGCAAATTTTCATAACAACGGTTGCCATAACCTGCTGTCTCCGTTAGCGATTGTTTATCTCACGCGATACATCTGGGGCGATGAATCGCTTGTGACGACCACAGAATGCATGATCCAACTACACAAGATCTGACAAGATGGAGCATAAGAAAAAAGTAATTTTCTGACTGACGTTTGTAATTTCGGCGCCATGTTATTTTCTGTGAAAAGTAAACAAAGAATATGAAGACGAAGTATAAAGAAAAACTGCAAGCAATGTTGCGCACATGTTTGTGCTAACCAATTTATTATTTATGTACGTGTTTTTGCATTCAATTACCGCGCACTTCATTTTAATTACATTTGCACAAAAAATCACTTAAAAATCACTGCAATAAGCCTCCGACAAAGTACATATAAAAAAGAAGCAAAACAGAAATAGCAAACTTATGGGTTCACGCTCACGGTGCAGCGAACAGAGGTGGCGCCGTCAGTGGTACCGCTACTTTGGTTTTGCCGATTTTGACAGTTGTGGTAACTTGTAAACAAACCTTTGTTTACAAATCAGCGAAAGAGAAATTTAATTATATGAGAAAAATCAGTTTAAATTGTGTTAATTTGCAATTTGTGAGTGATTTTTGAGTTGAAGACTGCGTAAAAACTAATAAAATGAAGTGCTGTGTGTTAAATTGCGACGGCCGTCAAGATGCAAGATGCGTAGATGCAAGTGTAGCGCTGGGACGAATCCGTGCATTTTGTGTACATAGGGTATGGCAAAGCCGTTCCCGAAATGTTTCTTTATTATTACCTTAACAGCATTTCCTCACAATGATTTTGCTTCTGCTCCAAGCAGCCTCCATTAGCAAGTTAACTAATCAATCCCGCGGAGATGCTGCCGCAGTCGTAATTGCAAAGCAATGGAGTGCACTAAAACGTTTGCTGAAGCAGCCTCAATTACAAAGCAATGGAGTGCACTAAAATGTTACCTATTCTCTAATAGATTAGGTGAAAAATGCGATATTTTGGCGTTTAGCAAAATTAAAACACGTTTTCGCTGTAAAGTGAACTGTTTTGAAAGTTTTAACTCGTTCTTTTTTTCGCTCTATTCTTTGTTTACTTGTGGTACACAAACGTCAACGCCCAGGACGGCGCAATCTTGTATTCTATCATTCTTGTAATACTCCTATATTGGCAGTAAAGGCTCGTCCACATACAACTTTGGCGTTGCGTTGGCGCTGGCGTCGCTTTGACAGCGGCGCGCGTAACGCCCGTGCTTGCTACAATGAACGCTTAGCACAGAATACTTTGGTCACTAAATTAACATACTAGCGGCTGATAAATCAAAATTTTTACATCAATAATTGCATTAAAAACTATATTTCTTGCCCGCATTTGATTAAAAATTAAAATTAAATCACATAATTTTGATTATTTAGAACAGCTGACGAACGACGCGCGCGAAAAGTTGAGAGTTGGCCATCTTTCTGCGTTGTGTTGGCGTTGGCGTTGCCCAACTTTGGTTATATGGAGACTTTCATATAAATACATGTATTCATAGTCAGCTGTCGAAGCGACGCCAACGCCAACGCAACGCCAAAGTTGTATGTAAACGGGCCTTAAGAGCTAGTACCGTCCGAAAACACTACAGTACAGATATATCAATAAACACGTACGAAAGAAAAGGAACACATACGTTTATAAATAAACATGTACACGACACGACTAGACTGTCTCGCTTTGATTTCGACAAAATCATGCGTAGTTCATGTATACAAAACTGAAAGCTGTTTTCGGCCGACTGCCCAGTCCAGTGTGCGTTCGAGTGGTGGACTGCTCAGTCCGAGTGAGCAGGCTAGTGTGCTCAGGCCCTATATACAAGCCCCTATTACGAGTGTCAACTGGCAGTAGAATATAAATTTGTCGATCGAGACGATCATCTTTTATTTTGCTATTGTGTAACTTGATCGATAAAAATTTGTACTATTGTGAATGGTTGACTGAATTGTAAACAGCTGTTTGTTTGTTTACATTAGTTTCTTTAGTGTTTCATTTACATCATTTTAAAAATAATTGCTCTTATTATAAAATTTAAAAAATGGATACAGTTGAAATATGGTTTAGTATGAGGAAGATGATGTGGAAGCTAATAGATTAGTAGAGTTGGCTAAAGCAAGGAGGGAATTGCGAGATTCGTCGGATCCCTTGGAGTTGGAAGATGAAGTGTATGTACATATGTGAATTTTATGAATAGAAGTTGCGTTCCAGATGCTGCACGGTTTGCAGGTTTTACAGGATTTGCAGGAAAATGTGTTTTCCTCATTAATAAACTTAATGGAAGTTTAAGAAATCGGTACGGTTTAGTTATTTGTGCAATGATGTTCGGTATTTGTGTACAAAAAGATTTCAAATTTCCGAGCACTAGTTAATAAATTATCCATTTTTTATTAAACTTTGATGTTTACTATGGCAGAGTTGCACAGGTAATTTCGTAAATAAACACTTGCCTTATAATTTTAATAATAAATGCTATTTATTTTCTAATATCCAGCTTGTAGCCACGGGCTGTGGCTTGTGACGGGCACTAAAATCTACTCATCATGTTGGAGCATGTTTGTTTGGAATAAAGACTTAAATATATGCGGAAATTTGGAATTTTACTTAATAAATTCACAAAATACCTAAAAATTAAAACGTAATCTTACAATAGATTATTCGTCATCAAGCATTGATATTATACTTAACCTACATTTTGTTCACAAATAACACATAATTATATCGTCGTTTAAAATACAAAACCGCGTATCGTCATTCTGCAAAACCACGTAATTGACATTTGCTGCCAAAAATTGGATTTGCTCACACGAGCTCTTGGCTCAATCCTTATCCATTTGTCCTCAAATATACTAGCCAAAAATGCGACTGCTTTATAAAAAAGAGAACCATTTTGAAATATCAGTGTTTTTACTCTCTAGAAAATAATTTATGCAACCTTACATACGCGGTTTTGCACTTTCAACGGCTCTTAAGAAAAGCAAAAACTCCATATAAAATGACGTACAAGAAATGGCAAAGAAATTTTCTTGAGGCAGTACGCAGTTCTTAAGAAATTTTCCGCTTTCTACTACACTTTTCTAAAAATTTTTTTGAAAAAAGAGCACAAGGCAACCCATGCTTATAACAGAAGCTTTGTTTCTTAACAGATAATTATCACAAATTATCACTAATTTTAAAAAGTAAAATTTTTACTAGCAGAAACTAGCAGCTGTCAAAATGGATAAACAAAAGTTCGCGCCAAATATTTTGATTAGTCAAATACGCCGATCAGCTGATTACTTGCTAGTTTCTGCTAGTTTTTCGTTTCTTTACTTTTTCGTTATTTCGCTCTCTGCGAGCGTAATGGGCTGTTTTTGCTTTTACGCGTAAAGCCCTGTATGCAGCTCTCAAGAAAACGGTCAAGAAAAAATTGCCATAATTTTGCGTGGGTGTCCAAGGAATTTTGACATTTTTGATACTTCCCAGCCTGTTGCCTCACTTTTTCCTCAAGAAATAATGGAACGGGCATATATTTCTGTTCCAAACCTGGGTTGCCTTGTGCTCTTTTTTCACAAAAAACTTTAGAAAACCGTAGTAGAAAGCGTAATAAATTTCTTAAGAACTGCGAACTGCCTTAAGGAAATTTGACTCAAGAAAATTTCTTAGCTATTTCTTGTACGTCATTTTATATGGAGTTTTTGCTTTTCTTGAGAGCTGCATACAGGCCTTAAGCAAAAACAGCCCATTAGACTCGAAAAAAATCACTTATATGGTTATAGCGCCAAATAAGAAGAAGATTGGACCAGACCCACCAGCAATGTATGTAACTTGCTAACTTTACAAATTGGAAAGATATGGGAATATTGTACTTTCTCTCAAAACAATACCATTTGTATAAATCATTTTTGGGTACTCACACTGGTTTAAAGTTTTCCGTTTCCCAAGTTCGGCTTCTATATATTTTTTATCTACACTTGCTTTTATTTTGACTTATTCTGATAACAGTTGACTTGTTAGTAGGGTTGAGACTTTTTGGTCTCCTTTTGAATTTGCAAAAGTCGTTGGTACCAGGCAATCAACCATATATTTAAATTGGTTTTAATATATTGTAATATAAAACAATATATTTTATTTTTAAATATGTTCATTTTGTGAATTTCCGCAATAAAAAACATAAACAGTTTCCTTATTAGTTTAAATTTCATCCAGCAACATGCGATCAGCTGTTTTTCGCACTGGCAAATTCTTACAAGTAAAAATTTATCCAGTAAAAACTTGCAACTTCAACTGCCATTTTTCGCCTTCATGAACATTAAGGCTGAATTTCTTTATTCATTCTGAACGTTTGGAATAAACTTTTTTGTTTACTTATTCTTTAGAACGTTCCTGATGATATGTTAACGTATATTTCAAACGTATTCTGTTTATTCCCGCTGTGAAATGGGATTATCCGGAATGTGTAAAGAAACGCAGCCTATAATTCGTAAAAACTTTGACTGGATTTTACTAGAAATGAGGAAACGAACGCAACTCAATCATCGAATTTGAACCGTTATTATCGATGTTTCTAAAACATCGATGCATCGCTTGAATCCCTACGAACAAACATAAACATACAGCGGTTATTCTTAATTGCATGCGGAAGCCATGAATATGAACAAAAAAGTTAAGTTTTATACTGAGTGTTAGCGCTAAGGACAGTTTAAAAATGGATAAATCTAAAACAATGTATGGAGGGCGACCTCAAGCAACATATAGAGCAGTTGAAAAAGATTCATTTATCATGGTACTGTTTTATCAATGTATACTCATTCTTTTATGTTTGGCTGGCTACTACCATGCACTGAATGGCAGTTTTGTATTTGACGACACGGTAGCAATTGTAAAGAACGCTGATGTTTCGACTCGTCACACTAACTGGACGGCGTTATTGAGAAATGATTTTTGGGGCACACCGCTCGTTAGTGTCGACTCGCACAAATCCTATCGTCCGCTAACAACTTTGCTCTTTCATTTAGAATATGGGCGGCTTGGACTACGCGCAAAACACATGAAGATCATTAATTTGGCTTTGCATTGTGTCAATACAATGCTCGTGTGGTGGCTTTTGCGGGAGTTCCGTTTTGAATTTACAAATCATACACAGGTAGCGACCATGGCAGCGGCTCTTTTTGCCATACATCCAGTCCATACTGAAGCAGTTTGTGGCGTAGTTGGCAGAGCAGAACTTCTATTCTGTTTGCTCTATTTAATAGCACTTCTGTTAACATTGCAAAGATCAGACTTAGGCTCATTAACTGATGTACTCATCGTTATTCTAACAGCCGTGGGTATATTTTTCAAGGAGACTGCAATAACCATTCCACTCGCCTGTTTTTTGCTCGATTATACACGTGAACAAATTTTTCTACATCCTTGGCGAACGCAATTAAGACATGTGTGCTCGCCCCGTAATTTTATTTTGGCAATCTGTAACATTGCTTTGATGATATTTCGTTTATGGTTGCAAGACTTCCAAAGTCCCCGGTTCAAACCTATGGATAATCCAATAGCATTCAATGAGGATCCTCTGACACGCATTCTCTCACAAAATTACCTCTACGTAATAAACTGGTGGATACTCCTATGTCCGCAGTGGCTTAGCTTCGACTGGGCTTTAGGATGCATTGAATTAATAGAAAATATTTGGGATTTACGTTTACAGGCAGTCTTGGCCATGTACTCTTTAATTATTGTTGCTTGTATTAATAGTAAACCAAATTTTGCGCCGGTATTTGGTCTGGCTTTGATGGTGATACCTTTTCTGCCTGCTTCCGGGATTATACAAGTGGGTTTTGTGATAGCAGAACGTGTTCTTTATGTGCCATCCATCGGATTTTGCTTTTTGGTGGCGCAAGCATTATCCTACATTTATATAACCAACTCAAAGCCATGGTTCTTGTCTATATTTAAATGGATGTTGATGCTGCTGTACGCCTGTTTGTTGCTGCGAACGCGCGAACGGTCCACACAGTGGTTGTCGGAGGATCGTCTATTTACATCTGCATTAAAGGTCTGTCCAAATAATGCAAAGGTATGTTTAATAGATCTGTATTAGCAATGAACAAAAACATTAATTCAATTTAATTTATATATGCATGTATGTATTTTAGGTTCATTATAATATTGCTCGCCTTGCCACAGATAGATTTGATCGAGACAAAGCGCTAATACATTACCACAAAGCAATCAAACTTTACCCGCAATATGAATCAGCTCTAATGAATTTGGGTAATTTATATCGCGAAATGGGCGAGTTAACTGTTGCCGAAAAGTATATTGCAGCAGCCTTGGAAGTGTTGCCTGATTTTGCTGCGGCGTGGATGAATTTGGGTATTGTACAATCGGCACGCAAAGACTATAACAATGCACTAAAAAGTTATAAAAATGCTTTAAAATACCGCAAAAACTACGCGATTTGCCACTATAATTTAGGCAACCTTTATCTTGATATGAAAAAGCATTCCGAGGCCATGCACCATTGGGAAGAGGCAGTAGCACTAAATCCACGTCAACCCAAAGCGTGGGCCAATATACTTACACTGCTAGACAATTGGGTATTGTACGAGGATGCCATACGACTTTCATCCCAGGCATTAAACCATTTGCCAAATGAAACAAATATTATGTTTATACGCGCAAATGTTTTTGGAAAATTGCAGCGCTATGTGGAAGCAGAAGAACTTTATAAACGTGTTATTGAAGCAGAACCATTAAATGTGCTATTTCATACAAATTTAGGTGTTTTGTATCATCGATGGGACAAATTGAACGCAGCTATCGAATGTTATCAAAATGCATTGAAACTAAGCCCGGAAAATGCTATAACAGCTAGAGAGAATCTCAGCAAGCTATTGAGGAGGAAGCGAAAAGAAAAGGCGGGGGGGTAGGAACTACATACGTATGCATATAAATAATATAAATTTTGGTTGGTTCGATTCAGCGCCTCGAGCCGTTTTGCGCCTTTACAAAAATTGATTTTGTTCATGCGTTATATGGAAAAAATGCACAACTGTCTTGACAAAAAACAAAAATCTCAAATGGTCAACAATAATCTTTAGCTACTTGAAACTTGCGTTTTATTAGACTAACATTGATTGATAGTTAAAAAAAAAACAAGTAATTTTTAAGCAAATAAAAACTGACTTCAATTCTCATATAAAAATTTAAACCAAATTAGTACGGGACCACCTGTGACATAACACCTTTCCTTTAAAAAAAATTATCAAAATTGGTTAACGGGGTCCATAGTTATGCGGTAACATACATAAAAAAAGGATCAGTTCAGCGTCCGTCTTCGTCTTAGATGCCAAACAAGAGATATATGCCATGACGTGTATTTTCCTCTCATACTGCAGAAATTTGTATTACTTTTTATATTAGCCTAGGTCCCCGTATTAGTATTTTTCTTCGTATTCGTGTTCGTTTTCGCATTATCTTCGGATTTGTGCATAAGTAAGCTAAGACTTCTGAAAAAGCTAACAAATCTCTTGCGTCTGATATTGTGATACCTAAATATTTCATGTGCCTAATGAATTAAGTTAAATTTGATTTTTTAAATACGTGACAACACTCCTAAAACAGTTCGGAAATAAAGCCCTTTTGAAACCATTTAAACCCACTTCATTAGATACCCATATTTTTATAAATTGCTTTAACTTTTTAACTAATTTTAGTTTACCTTTTTAAACAGGTGGAAACCCTCCATAATATTCTAAATGTTCAAACTAAGGATATCATAACAACTTCGTTTCACGTCATATTTTAATGTTTCATTTAACTTATGCATACTTTAACTAAGGATGGTATTATCACTTGCGAAGCGAATGAATTTGGCGAAGCGAATGGCTTGGCGAACGCAACCAAAATCTACATTAAAAGTATTCGCTTGTTCCCGCTTGTACAAGTTCTTTGCATCGCGAACACTCCTAATGCCTTCTCTGCCTCTTAAGTCGCTTTACAAAACCGTTCGCTTCGCCCAATTTATTCGCTTCGGCTGTGATTATACCATCCTAAATTCTAATTTTAAAAAAAGGTGACAACCCTGTTCAAAATATTTTCAGCCCTATTCTGCATTTCGACTCGAATTGAAATTTTCTCCGTTTGGCAACTTTGGTATTCTGCGTTCCGTTTCCTTTCGATCAATCTTCGAAATTTACGATTATACCTATTCTACATGTGAAATTACATAAAAAAGATGCTTTTATTATTGCACTCGTTTTTACTAACTTTTTAAAAAGAGGTGCGTATGTTGTCTCGAATTCGATTTGCTATGGAAAGATAAGCTTTGTTCTTCCCCTCCTCCTGACGTCTTTTAAAATGGGATTCGTTTGAGTTCGAATTTTCCACTCTGTAGTAAACGCAAATGTTGTGGACTGCTCTAAACAACGTTTATAATTTCACTGACTTTAAACGATGAGTAATAGAGTACAAGATGAATTCCTTATGACTCTTCACTCATCTAAAAAAGATCAAACATGTCCCTAAATCTCCGCCTTTCAACTTCCGCATCAGCAATCTGGGACTCGTTCTTCTCTTCAAGCAATAACGCCGCGGCTATGGATTTCATTATAATTATGTATCCACTTAAACTTTATTTTAAAATTACAGTGATGCTAGGTATATTTAGTTATTTTAAAATATTTACAAACTTTAACTTAATGTGCTGCTATAGTTTGGTGGCAAATATCTCTTTGTTTTGTTTCGATTTCACACATTCCTAGGTAAACAGCTAATTTCGAAAGATGTTTTCTGTCTTCCTCTTCGTTTCGATCGTAACGCAGAATACCTAAGTTCGATTCCAGCGGAGCGGAATGCGGGAACGTAATCGAAATGCAGAATAGGGCTGTTTAAAACCTCTTCGACTGACACACATATTGCGATACATATTTAAATTGTATATCTAATTTTCTTAATTCAAGTTGAATTTAATTTCTAAACCATATGGCAACCCTCTTAAATAAAGTTCAGAAAAAAAAATTTTAACCCACGTCAATTTATACCCATACTTTAATAATTCATTTGACTTATTAAATAATTTGATTTTAACTTTTTACACAGGTGGAAACCCTCTCTAATGTTATAAAAGCTCAAACTAAATATTTCCTAATACTCCTTTGTTTTGACGACAATATTTCAATATTTCATATGATTTAATTTCATTCGACTTTTCAAACAGATGGCAATCCTGTTAAAATTATTTTAAAATCAAAACCTCGTTAAACCTTTTTTCGTCTTACACTTTTATTGTGATACATATTTAAATTGTCTAATATTTCAATTTGAATTGAATTTAATTATAAAATCAGGTGGCAACCCTCCTACAGGCAGTTTGGAAATAAAGTTTCTTCAAGGCAATTTTCATTTATATTCATATTGAAGTAATTTATTTAACCTATTGTTTATATGGAATCTAACTTTGTAACAAGGTGGTAACCCTCAGCGCAAAATATTTTCAAAGCACAACCTCTCTCGTCTGACATCAATATCAGGATATACATTTCAATTTTCTGCCTTTATTTAGGTCAAACTTGCTTTTTGAAGCAGGTGGCAACCCTACTGTATATAATAAAGAAATAAAGCCTTTTCGAAAACATTTCGGTCGATAAGAAGTTATTGCACCTTCATAGGCCAAGCCCTCCAATTTGATACCTTATTTTGTAAAATCGAGCGCACGGTACAGATTTGATATGACGAAAAAGTTTTCGCGTATAATGCCTTCATTATTGAACCCAAATGTCGTTAAAATGCCCAAAATTGAATTTCAAAAACTTAAAAAATATTCCAAATGTTACGCCACAGTTATGAGAAATCCGAGTGCCATATTTCATCAAAACCATTCAGTCGTTTCTGAGTGAGAGCAGTCTCGCATAGTGCATGTTTTTATTTGTATCGAATTTCAAACTACCCTATACCGATGAAAATTAGTTAAATTAAATTAAATTAGTTAAAAAAATAAAATTTTATCATACATCTGCAAGCTAAGGCCTCTAATTTGACTTCTAATTTTTGAAATTCCTTTTCAAAAGTATTCTCAAACTAAAATCTTCTTAAATCCCTTTCGTCTGACATTGTGACACACATGTATTTCAATAAACTGATGAACTAATTCGAATTTGATTGTTTGAACAAATGGTAACCCGCCTAAATAAAGGTAAAGAATAAATCCCTTGCAAACCGATTTAGATTTATGCCCATCTTTTAATAATTCATCCCACTTACAAAATAATTTGAATGGAACTTTTTAAACATGCGGGAACTCTCTTCAACGATTCTAAATGTCTAATTTCAAGATTTCTTAACAAACTTTCGTTTAACTATGGTATTTTTATATTTCATATACTTTTTGAATTACTTAATTAAGATAGACCTTTCAAACAGGTGGAAGCCCTCTTCAAAAGTATTTTCAAGCTTAAGCATTGTTAACTCTCCTTCGCCGGACACTGCGATACATATTTTAATTAACTGATGAATAAAGTTTAATTTTAAATTCAAACACGCGCCAATCCCGCTAAATAAAGTTCGGAAATAAAAATATTTCGAACCCCTTCAATTGATACCCATATTTTAATAATTAATTTAACTTATAAACTAACTTTAATTTAACTTTTTGAACAGGTGGCAACCCTCTTCCAACACCTCAAAAATATTCTTATCGTTCAAACTAAAGATTTCTTAACACTCCTTCATTTCACATCCATATTTTGATATTTCGTATAACTCATGTATAACTAAGCTAAATGTGACATTTGAAGCAGGTGGCAACCCTTTTCAAAATATTTTCAAACTACTACTTTCTGAAACTCCTTTCGTTTGGCACCGATATGGATATACATATCTCTCTTACCTAATATGATTTTTTAAACAGGTGGCAACAGGTGGATTTTTAAATAATTTGCACTAAGAGGCCTTTAACTTGACACCTCACCAGTGATGCCAGATTGTGGGTAATTTCCCTATTTGAGAGATATTTTGCAACAAAAATTATTAAAAGGGAAAAAAGGGACATTTCAAACAAAAAAGGGACTTTCTTTTGACACAGTTATCGATGCATAATTGATCAAAATTCAAAAATCTTCGACACTCTTACGTAATTAATCGCCCTTCAGATGTGATGTGGAGTGAAATAATGTTTAATTATTAAAAAGTATAAGGACAATTTTGAAAATTTTCTCACGTTAACCAATTCAAGCGCTGAGTAAGAAAGAATCTTTCAATTGTAACTGTAAAAAGCGGAACAAATTATCTGATGAAAAGTTAAATAGCACATGTATCTGCTTCAATTTTAAAGTCACCAAAAAATCAAAACACAATGCAAATAATTTGTAACAGTGATAGTTTTAAGAATTGCCAGTAAGTATACAACAATACAAAACACAAATGTATGTATGCATTAGTTACCTTAATATGGAAAAGTTTCTTAAAAATCTTGGGTTTTAATAAACACTGAAGCTAATTTAAGTTTTTAAATTCTTTTAGGCCCTTAGTGAGTAATCTACCCAACTTTGAATAGAATATTATATGGGTGTGGTAAGCAGTGCGCGCTTCCACTGGGCAGGGCCTGGGTTCAAGCCATGGTCAAAGCAACATCGCAAAAAAATTAAAAAAAAAAAATGCTTTTTCTTAACAGCGGCCGCCCCTCGGAGGCAAATCTCCGAGTGCATTTCTGCTATCAAATACAGCTTCTGATAAAAATACACTCGCCGTTAGGAGTCGACGTAAAACTGTAGGTTCATCCCCTTTGTGTGAAAACATCAAGGCGCACGCCACAAATCGGAGGAGAATCTCGGCTGAATATTAATGTCAATTTCGTTTCTACCGAAAAATGTAACCTTCTATTGGACCTCTACGCACAAACACTAAGAAGAGGGCGATGAGAAGGCTACATTTTTTGTAGAAACGTAAACGCCATAACATATGTGTAACCGCCAATCTAATGTTATTATTTTATATGAATGTTACTTTTTTACTACTGAAATGTGTATATGTTTTGAATTCTTTGGGAATTTTGTGGGATAAATTTTTAAGATGTGGTAATTGAGGGATTTATTTCAGATTTTCGTGGGATTTTTAACGGAGAATGTCTGGCATCACTGCACCTCACTTTTGAAAATCGAATGAACGTTACGGATCTGATGACGGATCTGAACTTAATTTTTAAAGAGGTGGCAACTC